CGATGGAGGTGGCTTAAATTGGGAACACGAGGCTTTGTTGCAGCCGCAGAGAGAAACCGGTTCATGGCCGGGGGAATGAAGCCTGAGAAAAGTTTACGTAAAAATCAGGGGCTCGTCGCCTGTGTTTTAGGTCCCGGCTCAGCCAGGCTCGGAGGACTTACTTTAGCACAAAGACCTCGAGCGTCTTAGAAGTGCGGGTGCTTGCTGAGAGCTGGGGTGCATTTCGGGAGCGGGAGAAAGCGCATTCTCGGTGTCCGGCGTCGCTCTGGAGCGGGAGGTTTAGTTAAACGGGGGAGTGGAGCTCCCTGGGGAGCGTGGGGCGAGCGGAGCAGGCGCCCGACCCGCACATCCTGGAAAACAGGCAGCCCCGTCGTGCCGGAAAAGTTGTTCGGTGTGTTTGGTTTAGTTTGTCCAAGGTAGCTCCGCTCTCTCTTTTCCTGGGATGAAAGGAAGATCTTTGCCAGAGAAACGGTGCCACAGGAGCTAGCGTCTTACGGTGGCGATATCCTCATTAGCTGAGCCTTTCTTTGAGAGCTTCTCCACCGTACATGTGCTCTTCTTCGCCTGGTGACTCTGTAGTTGGCAGGCACGAGGAGTGCGCGTGTGGCAGCCTACACGCACAGTTGGGGATTTTTTTATTGGTTTGTTTTAGTAAGAGCTGAAGTAGGAACATTAAATGTTTTATAAGGACAACATATCTGGAGAACCAGCTCCTTTTTTGAATCTCCAAATGTATATGTGGTCAGTGCCTTCCCTCATTTACATGGATTTTATTTTTGCTTCATTCCGTGGTTCAGTTTTATATCGGACTAGTGGCATTTTTGCTTTACTCAACATCCCCGCAGTTATTGGAATTAGGATATTTGAACTTGCTCTCTCCTGTTTCTTGTTAACAATTCTGTTTATAAAAGCTGCCAACATTTTATGTATTTTTCCTAAAATGACTGTTTTGCTGCTGCAATTGGTGCTGTGTTTCTTTATGGTAATATCAAATTATAAAATATTTTCCAAAGCCTCATATTGAGCAAAGGAAATAGTTATTAAAACAGAGGCTGGGCCATTGTTGGTTTATCCTGAAGTTGATTCTTTTGTGATGCCTTGAGATCTCCAGTGGTGATTTCCTGGGCTTTTTAAAATTTGTTTGTTTTTGTACCAAGCAGGCAACATTACCTTTCATACGAATGAATGTGGTAATGGTGCAGGTCTCTGCTCTGATTTTTGTGAGCTGTCTCAAATCTGATGCTTTTTTTTCACCTAGATGTTCGACTGCTTTTGAGCAGTCTTTCGTTCTGTTGCAGTTTTGAGACAGAACTGAAGGATTTTGTTTAATGGAGACATTACTTAAAATCATTTTGATGTAGCATTTAAAAAGACCCACAAAATCACAGGTGATCACTTAACACTGTAGCTTTTTGAAATGCTTGTATTGCTTCATTGCACATTGTGTTTGATTTCTTTATTCATTGTTTATTGCTTTACAGTACAGTGAGCAGGTGTTAAACCTGATAAAGAAAAATGCTTTTTATTAATACTATATGTTGGCATATTTGTGAATTATGTGTACAAATGTATTTTTATTTCTCTTTCTCAAACCACCTTTGAAATTCAAGAGAGTTTTTTTTTAGTTGATTTTTTTTTTAATGCTGTAGTAGCAGAAGCCCATAGTGTTGTTGAGAGCTTTGTCCTTATTTCACAGATGCACTGGGAATTGTTTTTAATCTCCTTTCTGCTTTCCCATTACAGATGGTGATGACGACCCACAACTCTCCTGGGTGGCTTCATCTCCCTCCAGCAAAGATGTTGCATCACCCACTCAGATGATAGGAGATGGGTGTGATCTCGGCATCGGGGAGGAGGAAGGGGGGACTGGCCTGCCGTATCCCTGTCAGTTTTGTGATAAGTCCTTCATTCGCCTGAGCTACCTTAAAAGGCACGAGCAGATCCACAGTGACAAACTACCTTTCAAATGCACCTACTGTAGCCGGCTTTTTAAGCACAAGAGAAGTAGGGATCGCCACATAAAGCTTCACACAGGGGATAAAAAGTACCATTGCCATGAATGCGAGGCTGCATTCTCTCGCAGCGACCACCTCAAAATTCACCTGAAAACCCACAGCTCCAGCAAACCATTCAAGTGTACTGTGTGTAAACGTGGGTTTTCATCTACCAGCTCATTGCAGAGTCACATGCAAGCTCATAAAAAGAACAAGGAACATATGGCAAAGACTGAGAAAGAGGTGAAGAAGGATGATTTTATGTGTGATTACTGTGAAGAGACATTCAGTCAGACTGAAGATTTGGAGAAGCACGTAATGACACGCCACCCACAGCTTTCCGAGAAGGCAGATTTGCAGTGTATTCATTGCCCTGAAGTATTTGCAGACGAAAACTCGCTGCTCTCACACATTCATCAAGCCCATGCCAACAAAAAACACAAGTGCCCTATGTGCCCGGAGCAGTTTTCTTCAGTAGAGGAAGTCTATTGCCACTTGGACAGCCACAGGCAACCTGACTCCAGCAATCACAGCATCAGCCCTGACCCAGTCTTGGGGAGCGTGGCGTCCATGAGCAGCGCAACGCCCGATTCCAGTGCGTCGGTGGAAAGAGGTTCCACCCCAGATTCGACCTTAAAGCCTTTGAGAGGACAAAAGAAAATCAGGTCTGTGGACAGAGAGGAAGGCCAGAACTGGTCTAAAGTTACTTACAGCTGCCCCTACTGCTCGAAGCGTGACTTCAACAGCCTTGCTGTTCTGGAGATCCACCTGAAGACCATTCATGCAGACAAACCTCAGCAAAGCCACACATGCCAGATCTGCCTTGATTCCATGCCTACATTGTACAACTTGAATGAACACGTGAGAAAGGTGCACAAAAACCATGCCTATCCCATGATGCAGTTTAGCAACATTTCTGCCTTTCACTGTAACTACTGCCCAGAGATGTTTGCAGATATCAATAGCTTACAAGAACACATCCGTATTACTCACTGTGGCCCAAACGCTACCCCTCAAGATGGCAACAACGCTTTCTTCTGTAACCAGTGCTCCATGGGCTTTCTGACCGAAGCAACCTTGACTGAGCATATTCAGCAGACTCACTGCAATGTAGGAAATTCAAAATTGGATTCCCCTGTCATTCAGCCAACACAGTCTTTTATGGAAGTTTATTCATGCCCTTATTGCACAAACTCCCCCATTTTTGGCTCCATCCTGAAGCTTACAAAGCATATTAAAGAAAACCACAAGAACATTCCTCTGGCACACAATAAGAAGTCAAAAGCAGAGCAGAGTCCAGTTTCTTCTGATGTTGAAGTCTCTTCCCCTAAAAGGCAACGGCTTTCTGCTAGCGTAAACTCAGTGTCTAATGGTGAATACCCGTGTAATCAGTGTGATCTCAAGTTCTCAAATTTTGAAAGTTTTCAAACCCATTTAAAGTTGCATTTGGAGTTGCTGTTGAGGAAACAGTCTTGCCCTCAGTGTAAAGAAGACTTTGATTCCCAGGAGTCTCTTCTGCAACATCTCACTGTACATTACATGACAACTTCAACTCATTATGTATGTGAGAGCTGCGACAAACAGTTTTCTTCAGTGGATGATTTGCAGAAGCATTTGTTGGACATGCATACTTTTGTGTTGTATCACTGCACCCTTTGCCAAGAAGTTTTTGATTCCAAGGTATCTATCCAAGTGCATCTGGCAGTCAAGCATAGCAATGAAAAGAAGATGTATCGTTGCACAGCCTGTAACTGGGATTTTAGGAAGGAGGTGGATCTCCAGATCCATGTGAAGCATAGTCACTTGGGAAATCCATCAAAGTCTCACAAATGCATCTTCTGTGGTGAGACCTTTAGCACAGAGGTAGAACTGCAGTGCCACATCACAACCCACAGCAAAAAATACAACTGCAAGTTTTGTAGCAAAGCTTTTCATGCCATCATCTTGCTTGAAAAGCATTTGCGGGAAAAACATTGTGTTTTTGATGCTAGTGCTGAGAATGGTACAGCTAATGGTATGACCCCAACAAATAAGAAGACAGAAGGGGCAGATATTCAGAACATGTTAATGAAAAATCCAGATACTTCCAACAGTCATGAAGCCAGTGAGGATGATGTAGATGCTTCTGAGCCCATGTATGGCTGTGACATTTGTGGGGCTGCCTACACTATGGAGGTCCTCTTGCAGAACCATCGTTTGAGAGATCATAACATCAGGCCTGGGGAGGATGACTGTTCTAGGAAGAAAGCAGAATTCATCAAAGGTAGCCACAAGTGTAATATCTGCTCAAGGACCTTTTTCTCAGAAAATGGCCTGAGAGAGCACATGCAGACCCATCGAGGCCCAGCTAAGCACTACATGTGCCCCATCTGTGGGGAACGCTTCCCGTCACTCCTGACCCTGACGGAGCACAAGGTCACTCACAGCAAGAGTTTGGATACAGGGACATGTCGGATCTGCAAAATGCCACTGCAGAGCGAGGAGGAATTTATTGAGCACTGCCAGATGCATCCAGATCTCAGAAACTCCCTCACCGGGTTTCGCTGTGTTGTCTGCATGCAGACGGTCACCTCTACCCTTGAGCTGAAAATTCATGGGACGTTCCATATGCAGAAATTGGCAGGAAACTCTGCAACCTCATCGCCCAACGGCCAGGCCTTGCAAAAACTCTACAAGTGTGCATTGTGCTTGAAGGAGTTCCGGAATAAGCAGGACTTGGTAAAGTTGGATGTGAATGGCCTTCCTTATGGCCTGTGTGCTGGATGCATGACCAGGAGCACCAATGGACAGTCTTCGGGCTTGACTCCACAGGAGGTGAATGAGAGACCATGTGGCAGTCTGAGGTGTCCAGAGTGTAGTGTCAAATTTGAAAGTGCTGAAGACCTAGAAAGCCACATACAGGTAGACCACCGAGACCTGACGCCCGAGACTAGTGGCCAAAGGAAAGGTACCCAGACGTCCCCTGTTCCCAGAGTAAGTACAGCTGAACTTTGAAATGTCTGAGGGATAAAATGTAGACCCTCAATGTGACTGAGAACTGATCTGATGTTATTCTTTTTTTAAACTGTCACTTTATAAAATTACTTGTGCTACTAAAAAACCCATCAAAACAGGAGGAAAGGTAGAGTAACGCACATAGAAAAATTAGATGTTGCTCAGCCTTGCAGGCTCCTTGAATCCTAGTGGCAGCACATCAGATTTTTTGTCATAAAACTGCCCTAGATTTACAAACAGAGAGATGAGACACTTGAATGGTGGGGATTGAGTCTGTCCATGAATTCTGATGCTACTGAAATGGCAGATCTGAAAAAGCTGGGGCATTTTCATGAAAAAACGGAGATGCTAAGTACCCAAAACAAAACAAAAAAATCTGATCTGTCATACTTGAGGAATGAGATAATTTCTTACCAGGGAACTAAGTACAAGCAGGAGGATAAAGGAACTTTTGAGGAAAAATGTAGTGAATTCCACCCTACTCCCCAACTTCTCACCGAAAACAAATTTCTGTGCTAAAGAGCTTGTCCTTATGGATGTCTGTCAGAGTGAACATTGTGAGGCTACTTGAATGTCTGTGTGCTTACGTGTGTGCCTGTGCATGTGTGTGTGTATGATTTTAAAAGTGATTTTAAAAAGATCTGCTTCATGGCCCTCCTGTAACATAAGTAGTTTTCTTAGCAAATCTGGAAATTGTTGTCTAATGCAGGTTACATATAAGTGTGCTCTCCTTTAATGTTTGCAGATAGCCTGCTTTTCCATTTCTTAGCTTACAAGATACCTTGGAACATGCAGATCCAAGTAAGGTTTCAGAAGCCTACTCAGGAGATTAATATCATTTGCAGTTAATAGTCCTTTAAAATTATTTGTTGATGTTTTGGTTCAAGAATGGGCCAAGTCAGTCCTTCCTCTGTCAGGAACAGATGGAATGAGAAGTAGATTTTGGAAATCTTCTCAGGAGACCAACAGCAGACACATCTGAGTATTGATATCATCTGACATTTTTAATTAAACATGATGGGGTGAGATTTTCAAAAGTATCTAAGGAAATTAGGCACCCAACTCCTAATGAATAATTCCAGCCGTAGATGCCTGTTTATGTCAATCTGCTAATTAAAGCACCCACAAACATCTTACTGCATTAAAAGAACCTGAAAATACCATTCAACTAGAACACCAGAGGCTCAGTAAGAGAAGACCCTAAGTACGTCCTGAGGATGCAGACTGAGATGCCTCCAATAGAGCTGCTGCGGGCTGTATCCTCATCGGGACTTGCTAGCTCCGGCTCAGTGCTGGAGCATGCAGGGCAGCAGCGTCTGGCCGGGCTGGGCTGTGCATGGCCAGCTCGGAGCATGGCACTGCCTGCCCCGGCACCCACTGGCCTCAATGCCCCATTCCAGGCTTCTTCTTTTGCCTTTTTAGTTAAACTGGATGTTGTTCCCTCTCGGTGTGGTGAATGTGTGACTAAGCCTCCAGGCACACACACCTAATTCTGCAGAAGAATGAGGAATGGAAATATCCCTCCTTCAGTGTGATACCTTTTGCGAGTTCGGCTGGGGCTCTGGCTAGGTCGTCTCCTTCCTCCTCCTCAGGCCTTTTATTTCCTTCTAAATTCTTAAAACACCTCTGTTCTCTTAGGTAGGACTACTTCCTACATCATATGGCTGTGCCTATAGCCTGAAATATTACCTTTTCTTTCCTATCGACTATCAGAAGCAGAATACATTGCCATTTTCTGCTCTTATTTCTTGCTTTAACTCTTTCTTTTCAGTGACAGCTTCCATACTTGTTCTCTCAGGAGAGAGTTTTAAGTTCTTCAATAAGATAAATGCTTTGAATTTCATCCCATGAGGAAAGGTCTTAGTTCCTTTGTAGAAGATAATGAAAAATCAGCATTTGTGATGATGGTAAATGGTAGCTTCAACAGGCGTCTATGGCCTGTACGTATGCTAATATCGGAGACCTTTATGGTATGCATCGCAGGAATAGATATATTGTTATTAGGAATAATTCATTATCTTACCTTCGTTATAGGTACAAGACCTGAATTCTGTTATCAGTTCATGTGGAAACTATTGGTGTTTCACTCGGGTTTCTCAAGGCAATGAGTGAGTGCCCTTTGTGTCTGCCTAGCACAGGCATTTTCAAAGAATTACGCTGTCTTTTAAATGGTGATAAATCCCTGTATTTCAAGAATAGTGTTTACTTAACTTCGTTGGCTTCATAGCAAAGCTAAGCAAGTTGAGCACGATCTCTCTTGTCATCTTGTTAGCATGCTGCACACAGGTAAAATACCATTTTACTGGAGCAATCTTAAGTGCACAATGCATGTAGAGTAATCTGCAGATGTCCAGAGAAGAGCTGCTTCTCTCCAATTCTTGAGCATTCCTACATTTATTTTTTTAAATGCCTTACTGATTTTTCTTTCTTAAACAGAAAGGCAGTTGAAGATTAGGACAAGGTACAGTCAGAAAGAAAATATAGGGAGATTATATTTTAAATAGTGGGTATATATTTCAGAGTAAATAAGAATAAGCAGAATGAAATCCAAGCAAATGGAAAAAGGTGATGATGACATGCAAAATCCGTAACTTCTTTCAATGTTGGAAATGGCTCCACCAGCAGTTATACTTCTTGAATTGAAGAAGTGAGCGTGGAAGCGTAAAGAACTTTCAGAAAAAAAACTTAAATGAAGATTTAACCCCAAAGTGAAAGAAAGGAAGAAAATAAATATTAGCTCTTGATGAATAAAAAATGAAAATATTTGGGAAGAAAAAAAGATAAAGCAGGAGAAAAAGAACAATTCCTTTTTACTGTATGTATGTAATTTTGTGTATATATGCACATGGATATAGCACCACAAAGGGAGCATGAATATTTTGTTATATTTTGTTGGGTTTTTTACTATTGAATTTTTGCAGTTTTGTTCTGTAAGTCAGTTGGAGGCAGCTAGATGAGGATCAAAAAGCACGCAGAATTGCTTGGTAGTTTTGGGGTTTGGGGTTTTTTTATCCATAAGAGTGATAGAAAAAACATAACCCTTGAAAATGCTGCTGTATTCTGTCTTCCTTACTTACATTTTAGTATGGCAAACAACCAGGAAGAATACCTGTGAACTGATCACCTTTTTTTCTAGGATGTCTAACTAGGATCCAGTCATGATGGTCAACAAAGGTACATTTCCAGACAGACAAAAGTTTTTGCCTTGTGTACATGGCAACATCTGCATTGGAGGATTTGTTATTAGGAGATTTTAAGTCAAGTCAATGGTCGTCTGTAAGAAACATCACTAAGAGGAATAAATAAAATACACCTTAGTAGTAAAAGATTGCTCTAACATCGATTTGTGTTTGATTCTTATAGTTTTATATGAGCTGTTCTGTTTGGATAGGACTAACGGGTTTTTTTTAGATGAGCATCACAAGTGGAGGTACTATTCCAGTATGTGGCACATGTATAGCTCAAGACCTTTTTTAATTCCATTACGATTGCATCAGAAGTAATGCTTTCATGTTTTTCTGAACATATTTCTGTACGTAGGAGCTTCAGTTTTGAATACATTTTATTAAATCCTTTTAACATGTCTTCTAGAGGAATGTGCATGTCCTGAGAAACATGACTAGTTGTTTAATATTGAGATTTCTCATTGTCCCTTGTAATACTGGAAACAGTCACGTTTCAAGCTGCTCTCTCTTACACAGATTTATCCTTATTTTGTACCATAGTGTTCATGAGCAATGCTTATTTAACATTGACAATGGCAAATGCTTAGACTTCAGTTAAATTTCCATCTTGAATGGTGTTACTATTTTTAGCCCACCTAGGTTATTTGGACTGAAGAAGCAAAGGAGGTAGCATAGAAAGTTGGAAGAATGAACCCTATTGTGCTCCTTTAGTCAGTTTCTTTTCTCCTGCACACTTTCTTGGACTCAATTCCTTCTCTTTGTTCTCCCCCGCACCCCTTCTCTTCCCTTGTAAATCCACTTGAATGGAGGAATATTTTCTTTGTAGAACAGGAAACCATTTCCAGATTTAAAGGAGGACAGTCTGGAAAACCCATGGGAACAACAGTTACTTCAGAAAAGAAACCAGAACCCTCTGTTGTTATTACTACTATTTTGTGCCAAGATTAGAAATAAATATCTTGACTGAATAGGGATTGAGCTCTCTGAAGGCCTGTTCATCTGGTCTCTTACATCACCTAGATGCCATCATCTAGATTTTGTTAGCTCCTCAGAATCTGGGCACCTTTGTTGTCACCACTTGTGAAGATAAAACTTTAAAAAAGAGATAACTGACCCATTAATAATGTTTGTGAAGCCATGATACCCACAAAAATGATAGTAGAAGATCATATTTGGGACTACAAATAACACAACCTTGTATTAAAACTAGTGTTCCCCATTTACTGAAAACAGAAGTCTGGTTTTGTGACATTCTTTTAAAGACAATTATTAATGAGCCAAAAAATCAGCTCTTCCATCTCTTGCATATACATTTGGGTGCTAATCTAGCTCTAGTTATTTCATGGCCTGTATGAAGCCGTTTATTAACCTCACTGCATATCAAGCGGGGTACGCTGTCACAAGAGCCATTGTCTCAGTTAAGCTGGTCTGTTGCATGCATGTGTCTCAGCTGAGGCTAAAGATAATACTCAGAGGAAGTCTGAGATCTGCCATCTTCTCTGAAGGGTGGGCATGCCAAGCAGAGTGCTTTATAAGTTTGTGAAATGGTGTGGAGGACTTCGTACTGAGTCTGTGGATAAACAAAGACATCCTGTCTCCAGATCTGTTAGCGAGTAGCTTTCAGAAGCACCGAAATCAATTAAAAAAATGAATCATTTGTCTGTGTTTAATATAACTTTAAAGGTTTGAAATAGAGTTGAGCTGAAATGTTGTCCTTTTTAGCTAGTTACTTAGGGAACCCCCATAACAGAGGTAAGTGTTAAACAAGGGACAGAACTTAGCTTTGAAGTTTTAAAGAGGAAGGTTTCAAGTTTTAAATGTGACCACATGAATCATTTACCGCCCAGTCCCATTTTTCTCTTCCAAGTTTTTTTGTGTTTTGTTTTGTTTTTAAAGTTAGGAGCCCTCAGCATGTGTATGCCAGTGTGTTTGAGAGGACATGTGTATGTATGTGTGCTGTGCTCGCCTGCCGGAATAGATTCCCAAGAAAGAGTGCTGCAGAAATCCAGCTGCTTTTCCATTAACAGCCTTGATTTCCAAATGGACTCCAGGAGGATACTTTCTTGAGCTGCCGAGGGATAACTAGCCAATCCAAACTATTTCCTTTTATATGGTTGGCTGTGTCAGGTTTTGGCCAATGGAGTATAGCCTTCTTCCTATTATCATGTTTATCACCCATTGTTATTTTAGCCTAGAAAGCCCTGTGTATGTGCAAACACATACTGTGTACAGAATTCATGGAATACGCATAGCATCCATAGACTGGTGCATTTGTTATTATGGTATTACAGCATGTTCATTAACCTCCAGCAGGCTAACTTGTTGCCATTGATGACATGCGAAGTAGTTAAGAAGCTCTTGGCAGCACCTAATTTGTTCTTTCCTCAGCAGGTGCTCAAGGAAATTGGATCCCATGCACAGAGGGGGTGACAGCAACTCCTCTGTTTAACTCAAAACTTCTGACTTATTACTGCTGTCCTAAAAATGGGATTCTATACCTAGGTGTGGGGTGGAGGCTGTAAGAAAAATTAATGTGCATCTAAAAGTGCACAAAAAATACCCGCAAAATATTTCGCTTCAAAAAAGTTAAGAGGGTGTTGTTTACTGAATTGGGTTTCTCAGTGCTAATGGCTTGGGGTTCCCATCCATTCCTCGGCTAACTGAGCTTGTGGCCAGCGCGCGGAGATTTCACATATGTTCTGCTGCCATCCACTCTAGCCGTAAGGATAAGAACTGCATGCTTATGCTCATGCCTGGTGGCAAGTGTTGCAGTAGGAGTTATTCTCTAGGAAGAAGCAGGCACAAAAAGCCCAATTTTTCTAAATTGCACATCAAAAGATGCTATTTAGATAGCATATTCCCATGCAGTAAATGAGCATGCACATTAGACCAAAGCACCGTACTCCTGCTTTGGGAAATAAGAGTTTTTGCAAGTGTACAAAAGCTTAGCAGTCGTGGGGTTTTTCCTAAGTTAGATGTCTAACTTGTCAACATGCATTTTAATTTCTACAAATGATTTCCTGGACTTTTTTCTGTCATGTTGCACAAGTACACACGCCACTGTCAATCTGAGTGCAAACCCCATTTTCCCTATTTGAATAAATGGTTCATGTAATTGCCTCTTCACACTATCTCCCGACTTCTGTAGCTAAGCCTCCCTGGTATGACTTTGAGACAGAGAAAATACGCAACAGATTATGCTAGGAAACAATTCTTTAATTGTAATGCAGTTTTTCCAGGATTTCTGATGGGAGACCATTAGAAAATGTGTTTTTTCCTTTTGTCCTTTGCTTCCCCAAGTAACTATAGGTGTTTTGCCTACTGTATTTTGAGTTTAACTAAAGATGGAATTTTTTGAGAAAGTTGATCTTTTTCTGAAAACAGTTACCTTTCAATGTCTTTTGTTTCACTCTGCAGGAATTTTTACTACAATGGGTTAAATGACATGAGCAATCTGATCATGGCTCAAGTACTCAATCAGATTTTCAAGTACTATCATTTGAAATTTTTTAAGTTGAAATTAAAAACTCTCCTAAAGCAGGCTGTTAATTAGAGATTGTATTTATGGTCCCAGAAAAGCCCAGCCCAACTTGGTGTCTTGTTGGGGATATATGAGCAGAAAAGGCCTCAGTGGAGGAAAGTTGAAGCACGTAACATGCTATATTCATGATCACACTTGCCTTATGCTACAGTACAGTTTTCTCTAATCTCTTTTTGGTTATTAAACAGAAAAAGACCTATCAATGCATCAAGTGCCAGATGACCTTTGAGAATGAGAGAGAGATACAAATCCATGTCGCTAACCATATGATTGGTAAGACATTCTTTAAACTAGGCCACTCATCGGCTGCTTGTTTTTTGCTACTCTTTGAAATTCACTATTCTAATAACTTGTTAATATTCATGCTGTAATTTATTTTTTTTATCTTTCAAGGAAAATGATTTTGATGTAACGATTCTTCACTTCAAAGCTTTTTAAATATGTGGTTATAAAAGTGTTACTGCTGAGCTTTTTTCCTTATCCTTTTGAGTACTCATGTAGCATTTTCATTTATATTAAAATCAAACTTTTGACAGTATCTTCCATTTGATAGCATAAATTTCTCTCTATCCATGTAAAAAGTACTTGCCAGTTGTCAACCACTTAGGAGCAATTATGTTTCAATTTTGTATGTCATGACATTGAATAGATTTAACTGCTAGCATTTTCCCAGCTAAGTGTGGTGAATTCCTGAGGAACATTGTCAAAACAAAACACTTACAGAGTTACTTCAGTGGTTTTTTTTCTTCTTTTTCCAACAATTCTGGACTTCAGAAAGTTCAACTTTTCAGACATACAAGTGTTTTAAAAATTGGTGCTTGCTGCCTTCTACTACAGTCCTGTCGCAAGAGTTTGTAGTAAAGTGTTATTGTAATCTTATGGGTTCTATTTCTGCTGCAGCTGTATGCTTGCTTTTCTGATGAACGCAAAGAAATGTTTTTCCTGTCTGTACAGATGTTATAAATATACGTGTTGGCCCAAGAGGTCAGTTTATTTTGATGCATAGACCACAAAGGAGTTACTTACACATGCCACTGTAGGCATATGTTGGATGAGATCCTTCAAGGACCCTACAGCGCACTCTGTATGTCTCATATGTTCACATGCAGCATTTATCTCCCATAAGCATAATGGTTTTCTTCAACAATTTTACATTTAGGAAACTATTCTCCTGTCAATGCATGTATGTAACTGCTATTATCTTTGAAGTGAATTATGCATAAATACCAGAGAACGAGAAATACGGACTGACACAGTCTTTGCACCCCTACCCCCAAATGAAAAATATACGTCAGTCACAATAATTTCCATCCGAGAGCCAGGCAGGAGTTTGAAGTCAATGTCAAGCAGGTTAAGATGAAGATATCTAAAAATGTTTGCTTTTGTAGCAGGTGTTAATGTAATCTCTTGTTTGCAAGCTTGAAGAGTGAGATCCTTGTTAATTGGACCATAGTGATTTCATGTAGCTCCCCCCTAGATTTTTTTTTTTTAAGAAGCCTGAAAGAAAGAAGTCCTTAGGCAAGCTTAGCACTTGTTTCAACTTAATTTGTAATCCAGTAGCTAATAAATTTTTTTTAAATACAAAGGTCATGAAGTGCTGAGTTAAGATTCAGCTTGATTCGAGAGGGTAATTATTTTTCCTTTTGGAAAGATGCAATTTCTTCATTTTCCAGTAATTGATGTGTGAAGTTTGTTTATGTATATCCCCAAATTAATGCTGTCTGGAATAATATGTGACGATATATATGATGTTACAAGGTCCACTATTAGTGATATTGGAAAATAACAGTGGTAAAAGGCATAGGAGGCTGAGAAAAGTGTGGTGCTGCTGTTTGTGAAAACTGTACCTATTGTTTCCTTGAAGCTGTACATAAGTTATTATACATATCTGGAAGAACTCTATGTAAGTACAAAGGTGCATATGGACTCAGTTCCTTACACCTAGAACATTGTAAATACCAGGACATGGTAAGAAAATGTGTGATTATTCCATTGTGGTGTCATATCTTTGTGTCGCTTTGCTGAGATACAGACTGAGAACGTTCATTAAGTTCAAGTCATCACTTTTTTTTATGGTACAGTTTAGGAAAGAGT